CTGTCATGATGTGGATGTCAGACTGATCTTTTTATTTATCGTTGGCCTCCTTTTCTTTGCATTTGTGAAAAACAAAAAAAGGATTCTTTATATGCTTTTATAATAGAAACGACCGCCACACACCATTTTGCGCGATGCTAGTCGGTCCTGGCTCCAGGGCTGGGCATATTCCCACCCCACGGCATGGGACCCTTTTTTTTTTTTTTTTTTTTCCCGCTGGCCCTTCCGCTGCCCTGTCCGGAACCTGCAATTTTTTTAGGAGAGGCTCATTCGGATTCTCAACTTGGCTGGGGCCATGAACTGGTGCCCTTTCTTGTTTTTGTTTTTGTTTTTTGAACTGGTGCTTTGACGGTCCTGGGCACAATTTCCGCGTTTTTTTCCAGGGCTTCCAGGGGCGAGGTCCTAGTAGCAAAGAGGATTGGATTGAATGCCTGAATCTGGACATATTTGTGGAAGGGTGCTGAAAATCGAGATTGCTTTTCTGCATCTCCACTTAAAACACGTCCAGATTCAGGAGCTTAGGGTTGGACCCCACTGCGGTGCGGCTGGAAAAGCCGTGTGGCCACGAAAATCGGCCAAGTTGTTTTAGAAAGTTGGAAAAGTGTTTTTCCGGGACCCCACCCCGGAGTGCGTTTTGCGGCGAAGTGGCAGTTTTTCTTCCGTAAAAGGAAAGCTTGTGGGTGAAGTCCGAAAAAGGAAAGTGGTTGATGTCCGCAGGGGCGTGGCTGGACCTCAGGAAATGACCTAACCCATGGATGTGGGTGACGCTGGGAGGCATGTGCGAGACCCGGCGCGGCACGAAACGGGTTCGAAGGCCTGTGGGGGTGTCAAGTTCTGTTGGCGCGAACAATCCGTGGAACAATCCGTGGTTCTTCCACGGGACCTGGTTTTGGAAAAGTTGAAGACTGCTCTGGGGGCCAACCTCAGCTTTCGGCACAAATTTGTGGAGTCATTTCCTTGGCTCGCTGTTTTCCAGACCGTGGACCATGTGAAAACCATGTGAAAACGTCCACAGGCGATCTTCCAGGCCACAAAATGCAGGCTGTGGGGTCCCAGAATACCATTTTTGGAAGACATTTCGGCCTTTCCATAAACTTTTCCGCGAGGTGTGGGGTCCCGCAAACACTTCCGCGGCAAAGTTTTTCCTTTCCTCATTCCTGTGGGGTCTGGGCCTTAATCCAATCCGCTGTGCTAATGGGACCTGCCCCCAGGTGCCAGTGCCAGTTCGAAAAAGCGGCAAAAATGCATTTAGCTTCCCCCTAATACAACATACGGCGAAGTTAAATGCCCAAAGGAGAAAATAATAATTACTACAGCTGCCCTCCATATCTCTCGTCAGAAAATTTTCGAAAGCCGCAGGGAAAAAAAAAAAAAAAAAAGATTAAAAAAATAAATAAAAATCGAAAGCTCCAGTTGACCAGCAGCAAGCACGGAATTAAAATAAAGTGCTGGACAAACATAAGAGGAATGAATGTGGCCACAAAATGCTGAAAAGGAAAAAGCAAAAACACAAACGGATAGATAAAAATCTGATAGTGTGTGTTGCATGTCCATGGATTAATTAAAATTAAATTAATACGTACGCGATGATGACCGTGAGCATGAAAAAACAAAGAAGAAGAGGGGAAAAAAAAAAAAAAAAAAA